AGAATACTGAAGATGGAGATGTCAAGGACAACGAGCCGATTTCCGAGAAGCAGAATTCTATGGTGGCTATTAGGAAAAGAATAGCTGAAGAAGGAAGAGAAGCTGTTGAACTTGGTCTGCGTCAAGGATTTGGTTCAAAAAGACCAGACAAGAGAGATCAAGATCTTCTGTCTCAGATCTTCAAGTCTTCACTGCCAAAGGATTGGGTTACTACTGATTCTTCGTAGATTAGTTTTATAGGTTTAGAACAAAGTTCCTTCTTGAATTAAGCTCTGTTATTTGTAATCCGTGAGTTCTTTAACTCCTGCAACTATGTATTATGTTTGTAATCGAAAGGATGATGGTACCGGAGAAGCATTCACTGGTAACAAATACATCACAACCAATGTGGTATTGCTTTGGTCATGTCTCGAAGTGATTGGAAATACAACAGAAAGACTTGCGATCTTGCGCGACTATAAATAAGTTCTGTTAATTCCAAAAACATGCGAACAAATTATTCAGAGGAAAAGTTAACAAAATCAGAGGTGATGACGAAAAGGGAGGCGAAGCAGCATAGATGTTTTTGTTGGTATACGTCTCAGAAATTGTGACCAAATGTACGTGGCTTTGGAGGTTCCAGGCTTTTTCATGCTTTACATGTTTTCATGTCAAATGCCTGCAATGAAGAATATACTTAAGCTGTGAGTGCAAATAGAAAATTATCATGAAAGACTACTCAGAAGAGCATAAAGTATTGTAAACTGTTGTGTTGAAGAATCAATTTTCAGAGAATCAACAACGCCTTAACATTCAGAAAGCAAGCAGCAGTCAATTTCATCAAGCAAACTAAAGAGTTCTATCCCAAATCCACTCAACAAGAAGAAAGGATTAAGCAGTTGGTGTGAAGTATCTATCTCTACCCCAACTAAATGCACAAGGTAAGGTAAGGTATTATCTATGGACAGGCCTGTCTATGGAAATGGTGGACTTATCCTTTTGTTCTGCAAGATTATGAGAAACCATGGTGGATCTTGTTCCAGAGTCCACAAAGCATATTTGCAGCATCAAACTATTCCAAAGAAAGCCACTAATGGAACCATAAGACAAAAGCTAGCAAAAAGAATTAAGACACCTAAAGTTGTGCACAAAGATGATGAAGCTTTTTTTACCTTTTGAAGAGCTCTGAGAAGTAGCGTGTACCATTGTACATAACGAACCACATCAAGACAGCCACCAAAGCATCTGAACAAGAGTCAAGGAAAAGGCAAAGAGCATATGCTAATTCCACAAGAAATGCAAGCAGAGAGATGTGTGTAATAAATCAAAACAAACACATTGCTTTAGATGACAACGAGAAAGAACAGAATCCAGAGCCACCATATATAATATCACCAACGAATGTAAAAATCAAAACTTGCATTTATCTAACGATCAAAAGAGTTTTTTTTTTTTTCTCAATCACACACCAAAACTCAAGCAGAAGACAAGATCGATTAAGAGAACAAATCAAAAGCAGGGATGATACAGTGAG